CTAGCGTTCAACTGAAGGAGAAGGCAGACCCCACAGGAATACTGAAGTCTGAAGCTTCATGGGTGTGCACGGTCCAGTGTGGTTGGAAGCTAAGCTAGGTGTCTACTGGTAGGAGCTGGGCCCAGGATGAGATCATAGAACAGCTGAACATGGTAGACTTAGCCCCTGGAAGAGACGCTTTAAACAGAAGTTGCCAACTTCTGTGGGCCAAACTCAGCCCTTCATCTTCGTAAAGGAAGTTTTATTGGAACATAATCACACCTGTTTGTTTATATATTTTCTTTAATTTGTTAGAGGGTACGTGTGCTTGCTGGAGAGAGACAGAAACAGACAGACGTTCCCACATGGATAATGGCCATGCTGCAATCCCTTCTCCATTTCTCCCATCTGTTAGGATTTGGGGTCCCAATACATGCCTGGTGTGTTTTTTAGGCTGCTGGGTCTGGGACTTGAACCACATAGTTGACCCTATGAAATCCAGCCACCTTAACCACCATGCCACTGTCTGCTATTGTGTTAATGATGGCAAAGCTGAGTAAGAGACAGAGATCACAAGGCCCACAAAGCCAGAAAGATTCTCTGTGATGAAGAGCCTATTTAATAAATTCTTTGCTGACCTCTGGCTTCAAGATCTGAATACTTGAAGATCTCTGACTCAGATGCACAGTTAGGGTTCCTAAGACCTTATTTCTATAGTCCAGAAAGCAGCAATGTCTTAAATCTTCTTCTCCATCATGGACAATGAGCTGTTCCTCTATATCCCACACTCTTCTGTACATCTCTTTCATAATCCCAAATGGCATGCCTTCGTTTACTGCTGCTCTCCTTCATTTCATGTTTTGTCTTACAGCTCTGCCATGAGCTTGGCCCTGCTGAATCGCTACAAGCCTCCCACCTCACCAGCAAAAACTCATCACTCAGCTTTGAGTCATTTTGCTTCCTTTGCCACCTTCTCCAATTCTTCATGCATTTTTGTACCACCTTTAGAACGTTGCTGAAAAAAATTTTATTTCACTTGCCATTATGACCACTTTCAAATTCCATGCTCTGACTGATACTTATTCCTTTGCAAAAAAAAAAAAAAGAAGAAGAAGAAGAAAAGGCTTCCCCAGTTTTATCAAACTCTTGGAAAATATAAGGTACACTCACTAGTATTTACAAAACAAAAACCAAAAAAAAAAAAGAAGAAGAAATAATCATACTTTTCTGGTAGGCTACATTAAAAGATTTCCTTTACTAGGAAATCCCTTTACACATTTAAAATCAAATTTGATCTATAAAAATTAAATTTGCACATGATTTTCTAGGGGGTACATCTCTAATATAGAGCAAGGAGTGTCGTTATTGTTTTATTAACCACTGGCAATAAAATAGAGTAGAAAAAGGAACTCCATTTTAAAAGCTTATTTTTATGGCCTGCAGTACAGACTTTGAATACAGACTTTATAATCAAGCTACCTGGTTCCAAATCCCAGCACTGCCCCTTATTAACTATATTACCTTGAGGAAGGTAATTAACCTCCCAGTGCCTTGGCTTCCACATCTGCCGAAAAAGGAGGAAATGGGGGAGGGAGAGATCATAACTAATTGTCTCCTAGGGCTGTTGTGAGGATCTGAGAGGTACACGGTTTTCAGAATCGGTGTTGTGCCTAGCAGACAGCATATAGCCTGTCTTGCTAGCTAAGTACTACAACATGATTCTTAGATTCTATTGGTTTTATCTTTCTCTCTTTTCTCTGCTATGGTTTAGAGAATGGTTTGTCTCCCAGTTGTTCATGTAACAGCCTCGAGAGGTGGAGTGATTTTCAAAAGGTGAGGCCCAGTGAGTGGTGTTTGGATCACGGAGGTGCCACCCTCAGGAATGGATTAATGCTGTCTGGTGGGGGGTATTAAGTTATAGCTCTCATGAGAGGGATTAGTTCCCACAAGAACAGGTTGTTAGAAGAAGAGGATGGAGGCTCTCATGTCTCTTCCTGCACACGCCCAGCATCCTCTCAGCTTCTGTCAGCCATGTTGTAATATAGCATCAAAGGCAAGCTTGATGCCAACCCTATGCCTTTGGACTTTCCAGTCACCAAAATCGTAAACCAAATAAATCTTTATTTTTTCAAGATCACCAAGTCTCAGGTATTTCTGTTAGCTATGAAAATAGTTGCCTAAGATACCCGTACAGCATAAATTAAGAACGCACTGTGAGACTGGACACAGCATGTAGACATGAGGGTATTTTTGCCTCCTGCCTTTCTTATTCCTCACTGAGTAACACTTTCTCCCATACGGCAGACCCACATGGTTTAGGCAGACTTATGCTTAATCTCAGGCTCTAGGGACTGAGATGTGATCCAGACCTAGCCAATGACAATATTCTATTCCCTGGCCAAAGCAATATGCTCAGAGAGTGGCACATGATTCAGGTCAGGGCAGTAAGGATCCACTCCTAGGCTCTGACACAATGATGAGGATCTAAGAGTCTCTCTCTCTCTCTGGCTGGATAGACTATCTTCCAAGAGCTGATGATGGCCATCTTTCTTAGCCACAGGGAAAACCTTCCTGAGCATGACATCATCATAGCAGTCATCAGTGAGGGATAAAGAAACAATGCCCTGAAAACAAACATGTGCCCTGGAATCCTGCCATGCAATTCTAGACTTTTTCAGTGACATGTGTTGGTTTTCTAAGTTTATGCCAGTTTGAGTTGGGTTTCCTATCACTTGTATTCACAGGGTTCTGACACATAGTAATGAATTAATATGTGCTATAACTAAAATAATGTGAATCTTGCTAATCGTGCCATTGCAGAGAAAGGTTAGCAAGGAGAGCTGGCAGACTTGAGCTGTAGTCTTGGTTCTGTCTTGAGCCAGTTGGAGAGAGCTAGGAAAACCGTTTCATCTTTCTGGATCCTAGTGTACTTGTATGTCAAGTGAGAGAGGTGAGTGAAAATCAATCTCTAAGATCCCTTTTCAGTTCTAACAGTACACTAGTATCTATTTTTCTTGGGTTCATTTCAGTTGCATATACTATGATATAATTGGTTACCGATTCTCATATTTGCCTGCCTCCTCCTGTTTCAACTTTAAAAATATTCTAATAGACTCTCAATCCCTCTATTCCAAATGTTTATTTCTTCCCTTTCAATTTTCTTCTAAGAAAAATATATTTGTTTTTGTGTACTTTGACATAATGATCCCATTTTCTTCCCATTTCTATATTTTTAAATCTAATTAAGGTGATAAGTTCCTTGAGGGTTGAAGCTAGAGTTTTCCTGTGGGTGTAAACATTATTTTTTTTAATTGCCAACCAAGCTGCCAGTTTTTACAGAGCAGCAGGATATGGGTTTTAAGTAATGTAAGCAGGAAATGAGTCTCCAACCCACACAAAATAAATGTAAAAGTACTGATTTTCCCTGAGTCCACATCTGTCTTACTCATTTATAATTTCAACCTGAACTGAAATTCTCCCACAGAAATGCAGTCTAAAATCCATGTCTACAGAGTATCAGATCATAAATGGGGCATCAGGTGCTTATTTTGTGAGTCCCACACATTTAAATGATCATACTTGGCTACTTCAGGCCATCATGCTTTTCTCAGAGATGGTAGGATTTAGGGCTTGAGCTAATCGAGCATTAGCTTCTTATCTCCTCACTTGTTGATTTCAAGTAACTTAATAGTCCCAAAGTTTGGAGGGATCAATGGAACTAGACAAAACATGGTCAAGTGACCCATCATCTACTGATAGACCTGCCCAAAGGAGAAAGACCCTCCCAGAAGGGAGGGGACATGTGGGATCTTCCTTGTCCAATGACTTAATCCATTCTTGCTCTTGGGAATTCCAAATTTGATCTGGACTCCAACTCTAAAACCCTTAATGGATACTTCTTAGAAAATTGAACGAAATTGCCCAGAGGCAGTAGTTTCACAGGGTTGTCTGATTTAGCAATCCCATGATGCCATTCAGGCCCTGATTTCTCTCTCTCTCTCTCTCTCTTTCCACTTTTCCCTCCACAGTGCCCATTTTGTCCTGGGTTGACTCCCCTTGAAACTGAAAGATGACTATCAAGGGTCCATGTGGCTCTTGCTTCCTTGTTCATATGTATTGGAAGAGAGGATACTTCTGTCCTAATAGTCTAAGCGTAAGCCTTGAATTCTCTCAATGGACCAGCCTAGGTCACATGTTCACAATGAACTAATGACTGTGTATGGAACATAGAATATTATGCTCACTGCCTTGAAGTGACTAAGTTTATCCCAACCCTGACATTTTCCTTGGAAACTAGAATCCCAAGGGGCATAAAGGCAAGCTAAAATCTGAATACAATTAGAAAAGGTAGCTGGATGGGCTACCAAGAAAACTTCTAGTACAATCCTTGAGTAGCAGCCCCTAGCAAAGGTCAGTCTCCCAGCAGAGCACCCTCACAGCAACGCTTGCTTGGCTCAAGAGGCTTTCCCTCTTCAGTCAGGCTTCTTTCCAGGACCACACTTCTTAGTTCCAAGACCTAAGAGCCCTTGATTCATCATATAATTCTCCAGCCTCATTGGAGGATCACAGTTGGGATGCTTGGCTATTGTTCCATATTCTTGAAGGACAGTGACCATACCTAGAGGCATCTCCCGAGTTTGAGCACAACACCTGGCCCAGGCCTCACACACATAGTGAGCATTCACCAAAGCCCCAGTGATGGGATGAACAAATTAGCAATCCTGTAAGTGCTTCCCCTGCCACACAGCCCTATGACTGTGGCTTTGGAACACAGAGAGCTAGAATACAAATCCGCTGTCCATGACACCCAACTTCCGCCTTTTCACCAACTGTCACCCAAATTCGATCTGAAGATCTCCAGTTATCCCATTTTCACACCATCTCTGTTTATACCTACCCTTGGCAATATGTCATTAGTGTCATGTCTAAATACCATCCTTCAAAATTTGATTTTGGAAGTTCAACAAGCCATATTTATAGATAAGTCAAACAAGGAAAAGTCGTCCTGAGACGTCACTTACATTCTTTGGACATTCCCACTTCAAAGCACTTCTGGAGTCGACAGTACTGGCATCGATTCCTGGTGACTTTATTAATAACACAGTTCTTATCTCTGTGACAAGTGTAAATCATGTTCTTCTGAATACTTCTGCGGAAGAACCCCTGCGAAGAAGCGAGAAGATGAAAAAACTAAGTAAAATATCTGAGCTTCATGAGAATCAAAGCCAACCTTATCAATGCACTGATTGCTCATTTAGACTAACTGATGGTAGCAAAAAGTTAACTTATTTAAACCTTAAAATTCTTGTGAAATATTAATTGTTCTTCCTTCGTTGCAAAACATAAAGTCTCTTTTAATGAAAAGTAGACACGACCATTATTATCGTGCTAAAGAAAAATTAATAGTAAACTAATTCACTTGGAAAACATCAAGCAGAGATTAAATTCCTCCACATAGGCTTATCTTCCTGTGATACCTGGTTCCCTTGATGGCCAGAAAAATTGCAGGGGAACCCTCTGTCAAGTCACACAATATGTGAGGCAGTACATTTGCAGAAGAAATTACTTGATTCATTCAAGAATTAGGTCTGAGACCAGCAGATGGCATAATGCTTACAAAGCTGGACTTCCATGTAGTCGACCATGGTTCGAGTCCCAGACTCAGCATCTTAAAACTCACGCTAGACATGTGTCTGTGCATGTCCAAGATCTCAAGAGGAGAATGGAGGAGAAGGGATAACTATTCCCTCGGGGGGTGATTTCTCACTTTCTGTCTCTCTATCTCTCCAGCAAGTGTAGCCAGAGCAAAAAATCTCTCTAAAAAAGAATTAGGTCTTTACAAAGGAGTCTTTCCAAATTTTTTCGCATAATTACACAACACTTAAGATATGATTTAACTTGCAAAGTGTTTAGAAAAAAAACTATCACGAATTGGAAACAAGGCAGAAAAATGACTATCTGCCCATTTAATACCATATTAGACAGCTGTGCTCTCTAACATGGGAGCCATTGGTTACATAAGGCTATTTAAATAAAAATTAATGAAAATGAAATACAATGCAAATTCAGTTCCTCATTTGCATTAGGCACATTTCAATACGGATGGCTACCATTCTGGACGACACATATTTAGAATATTCTCACCACTGTAGAAAGTCCCATGGGGAAGCACCATACCATACCACTGACTGACAAGCCCACCTAAGAGACATCTAATGCTCTTAGGAAATGTAAAATTATTTGATATACTATTTATATGGCTTGGCTTGGACCCAGACTCTGTAAAGACTATGGAAGGCTAGTAAATCACAAATAATTTCTGTCTAGTGTAAGTACAAAGGATTTCTGCCCAGATTTTTTAAAAATCCCAAATATTACTGTTTATTGCCTTGTAAGATATCAACCAGTTTGTATTTAACTTTGGAATTTTATTCAGTCTTCTTTTTTCCTTTTCATTTTATCTGTTTATCTACCTACCTTCCTAGACATCTTTCTCACATCCTCCTCTGAACCAGCTTTGACCCTACTGTTCCCCTCACTCATGAGTTAAATAAATTTCTGATATGTGCCTACTTTACTAAATATTTGAACTAGCGCCTCTCTTTCTTTCTTCTTCTTCTTTTTTTTAAATTTTAGATGTTTTTGCCATAAGGTGTGTGTACTTGCCAGACAGAAAGAAAGACAGAGACAGTGAGAAGGAAAGTGAGAAATCACGCCCAAGGGGGATGGCCATGCCTCAATCCCTTCGCCTCCATTCTCCTCCTGGGATCTTAGGCACACATGTCTGGGACTCAAACCATGATCAGTCATGTGGGAATCCAGCAAAGTAACTACCTCGCCATCTACTGTCTCCGAGTTTTTGTTTTTTCACTTTTTGAAAATTATATTTTGAAAAAATATTCACAATTTATCCTTATTTTGGTGAGACACTGATGAAATAAGGCTGATGTTAGGCTCCTGGAACAAGTGTCTCCAACCTTCTCTTTGCCTTCCTCATTTCTACCATACCACTTCATGTTTGATAATCAAGTGATGCTTGTTGAAAATACAGAGGAATGAATAGTGAATTGTGAAGTGTAAGCTTGCTGGCTTCTCTTCTAATTACCCTACAAAAACCTTGATGCTTCGATGACTGCTAAAAACAAGGACTTTCTCCTAACAGTTTTGATGTGACTTATGTCTACATTAGAAACAATTCTCCTGAATATAAGACACACACGCCAACAAATGTGCTGAACAGCAAACAAGAAGCTCCATCTGAGTTCAACTTTCCCTGCAGTACATTAACACCACAGGAGCCAGAACTAAAAACATTCAAAGCTAAAGCACATTAGCAAAGAAAGCTCATGTAACACACATTGTTCGGGATATATACGTGGGCACCCTAGGATTCAAATGTCTAAATAAACATATTTTTACTGGCATGGTTCAACTGTAAGTGTCTAGAAATCTTGTTTAAGGTTGCAACTCCTGCCACATAGCCCAGACACACACATTTTCCACGAATACACAGTTTATTTTTGTTTCCTCTAGAGCTACAAATATGCTCAGAATCTAAAATAACAGGTTTACAAATATTCTGAAACCCAAACAGAGTCTTTACAGAATGGCCACCTCAAAACATATCTTTCGCTGCAAAAAATACCTACAGGGCCACTTTTGGCTGCCAGATGTCCAAACTCAATTTATAGAAACTTCCATTGCTCTTCTGCCAAGAAATGCTGACACAATGAAAGATTACAGTCTTTTCTGAAATTGTGAAGAAAGCGAGGTACAACGAAGGTGACCTCCTCCATGTATGAAAAACCGAGTATTTAGTTCAGCAAATTCTTACTGAGTGACCGTGGAGGAGAGAAAAACAATCTCATGATGCTCATATGAGACAACAAGGGAGAATTAAAGAACTTTATATGTCACTAATTACCCAGTCAGTGTGGTTCAGTAACAATGACGGCAGAAACTAAATAGGAGTTCTTGGTTTTCCAAATCAGATTTTTGGCTGGATTTCAGGAGGACGTCTAAGTTTCAGTAAATCATTTCCACCATGTTAGAATACTTGCTGACTAAAACATATGCTGGGAGGTATTTTTATACATGGATTGGGTAAGCAGAAATGCCCTCTAAGTCCGGGAGATGTTTGCATCATGCAGATAGATCCTTCTCAGTGGATATTAAACAAAAATTGTTACATAAAGCTTGCTTCTGTGCAGAACCACTGTTTTGAGGACCTACTGTGTGTGGGAAAGGGAGGACATAGAGAGGCATATCCTTGTACCTAAATTTTATTTACTCAATAAAAAACAAAAATGCCAGAGGGTATGTGGGCATACTATGGGGAGACAGAGAAATTGGGGTGGAGGGAACTGAGAAAGCAATCCCTGTGAGGTACTTTCCTCATCTATAAAAAGGGGACATGCCAGGGAGTGTTAAGCTGAAACACCTTGAGAATAAAAGAGAGGGAGCCAGCAGATGGCAGAGCAGTTATGTCACTGGACTCCCATGTAGTCAACCATGGTTTGAGTCCTGGACCTGGTGGCTTAAAACTTATGTCGGGCACGTGTGCATGCATGCCCCCCCAAAAATCCCTAGAGGAAAATGGAGGAGAAGGGATTGTGGCATGGCCATCCATCCCCTCACCCTGGGGGATGATTTCTTGCTTTCTGTCTCTCTATCTCTGTCTCTCCAGTGAGCGTATGTGCCCTATAGCAAAAATCTCTCTAGAAAAAAATAAAGAGGGAGAGAGTAAAGGTGAAGACATTGTTGTGAACAAAACCATAATGGCCAAGGAGATGGTGTTTGAAGACTAAGCAAAGAGAGACCCTCCATGTGCATGAGCAAGAATGGCAATTTCATGAGACCTGCCTAGGGTTTAAAGGACACCAACAAGGACACTTCAGTTGACCTTTACATCTTTCTCAAAACTAGGTCATTGCAACACCTCTGTGAGAAACCTCATGCAAGTATTTGTGGCTGGACTGAAGCTAAAACACTTTAATACTGTCTCAAGGATCCATGGCTACATGTTTTAGTAACTGGTTTACTGACACCAAGCCTAGTGGTGCTGACATCACAATTTTATTCTTTCATTTTCCTGGAACTTCCTTCTCCCATTAAACCCAGTAAATGTCTATAAGGTCACATCACCCAGAAAGCCTTTTCTGACTGACGTAAGTACACACAAATGCTTTCTCTTCTAGGCAACCTCGATATTGTGCCTTTCCTTATAAATTATTTCTAATCAAGAATACACACACACACACACACACACACACACACACACATATTCATTCACTTAATAATTATATTTTGAATATCTATGATAAGTCAGATTTTTTTTGACCACCAAGATATATAGGTATATTTGTTGTTGTTGTTATAGGGCATGTGTACTTGTCAGAGAGACAGAAAATGTAAAATCACCCCCCAGGGAGGATGGCCATGCAGCAATCCCTTCTCCTCCATCGTCCTCTTGAGATTTTGGGCATGCGTGCACTCCCGGCGTGAGTTTTAAACTGCAAGGTTTGGGACTCAAACTATGGCCAACTACATGGGAGGCCAGTGACATAACCATTATGCCATCTGCTGGTCTCTCTCTCTCTCCTCTCTCTCTCTTTCTACCTATCTATCTATATATACACATACACACACATACATATATTAGATATATATTATTACCAGAGGGGATGTGTGCATTCCAGAGGGAGAGAGGGAAAGTATCTTCCAATAGAGCTGAGTCACACCACGATCATTTTTTCTCTACTTCTCTATCCCATTTTGGGCATGCATGCCGCATGGCATGCATGTTTCTCAAGCCTCTGGGGCTGGGATTTGAACCACAGCAGGCCATGCAGAATCTGGCCGTGATGCACAGGACTTAAACACTGAGCTAAGTGGTCAACCCCAGGATAACATTGACAGTATTAACACGAGCACTGTCTGCTTCAGAGGTTGCATGGATGGTAGGAGGAAATGTCAGCCTGCGGCAGGTGGTCCTATTCTAAGGAAGGCTGATTGGCACTGTACATTCCTTTATTAGGGTGTCACCATACCATACCAACTATGCCATGTTCCTTGCTCATGTCCCTGCCTCCTTAACAGGGGAGAAGGGTGAACACAGAGGCACTAGAGCAGAAGAGTTGGTAGGCCCTGAGGTAGCCTCCAGG